TCTGTTTAAAATTAATTATTAATATTAATAAAGTACATGTTCCGGTAATCTGTTCGCAGTCGAAAGTTAGTTGTTTGCTTTTTTGTTTCTTAACTTTTTTTTATAATTTTTCTTTTCAAATATTTTCAATTTTAAAATTAATGTATTGAAAATCATTGAATTGTCGCAAAGAATTTTATCAAAAAATTTGATAATAATGGAATTCCTAAAAAGAATTTTTTAAAAAATTTTTTAAAAATTGAATTTTGACAAGAATTTTATTAAAAATTTTTAAAATAATTGATTTGAATTTAGAACCTTTTTAAAATTAAATTATTTCTAAAAATTTACGCTGTAATACTTTTAATGCGCATTTTCAGCAATTTTCACCATTTTTTGAGTAAAATTTTCTGCGATTGAAGTAAATTTTTGTATAAAATTAGTTCGAGCTTAGGAAAATTCACTTTGAAAATAGTAAAAGTTGACAGAAATACACAGAAGCTTCAGAAATTCAGTTTATTTTTTTTTCTTGAATATTGATTAATATTGCCGAAGAAAAATTTTTTTTCTTCGATATTATCAAGTGAATAATTAAAAGAAAAAATTAACACGTATTTTACATTTTTTATATGCGTGAATATTAAATATTTAGATAATTTTGCGAAACACCTGTTCGACATTTTCCAAAGTTAATCCCTGGTCTCTGATCGTCAGGTAGTTCTTTATAGTGCTTTGCCAACCTGAAAACCTGTTACCCCTTTCCCCTCCTTTTTTTCACTATACATATATATGTGTATGCGCGCCGTTCTCGCGGTTCTGACGATGGAAATTAAAAATTAAACCGCTGTCGGAACTTCCGAATCGAAACCCAACGCGTCACCTGTCAATTTTTTCCTCTTCTTCTACTCCCTTTGTTTTTTATGCAATTAATAATCGAAAAATGATTGAATTCCTCTAAAACGCCCTATTTCGGTCCATTTACAATCAATTTGAAAAATCAATTTAAAAAAAAAATTTTTTAATTAAATGATTTCTTTTATTTTCGAATTTTACTATAATTTTAACAAAAATTCATATTTTAAAGTTTAAATGCAGCGAATTTTATAGAATTTGGAAAATAATTGACAGTTTAGATGTTTTACTGAGAAAGTATAGTAAAAAATACCTTATTCGTTTATTCCGTGAATATATTACAATAAAAATTCTTGTTTTTTGGCAGTGGACATAAAATTCCTTTAAAGGTTCTTTCCATTGCTTATAAGAAAAGTTAGCGTGTGTTCTTCTTTGTTCTTGGAATTTCTGACAAATTATATATAAAAAAAACTCGTCACACAAGAAAATCAGGATAATGACGTCGTCATCAGAGAAAGATTATGTCCACAACGAGATTTGCAGTTGTTCCTCTTATTTTTCCTCTCCAAAAGAGTCGCTAAATCCCTTGCAATAAAAATTTAATGTATAGTTTAATAAAGTAAAACCTATAACATAATCGAAATAGAAAACCATAAGGAATTTTATTTCTCGACCAGGCCCCGATGAGGAAACTCATTACTATTTCTACGCGAACAAAAGAGCCAAATGAGATGAATTTTAATTATTTAAATAGAAGGAAATAGTAAGAAATAGTAGGAAATAGTAAAAAATAGTAGGAAATAGTAAGAAATTGTAAGAAATAGTAAAAACAGGGTGTCTACTGGTCCTTGAAGTCCTTATGAAAATATTATAATAAAACATGAAGAAATCGAAGAAATTTCCTCATGTTTTATAATACATTTAACATGACACAGAGTAATAAAATCATTATTCTATTTCATAAGAATATTATAACTATAAATTCAAATTTTCAAAGATTTTAATTTTAACCCTTTTCAAAATTCAAATTATTTCTAAAAATTCGCGCTATAATGTTTTTAATATTCAATTATAATTTAAAATTTTGAAGAAAAATTCATTTTTTAATCAATTTTAATTAGAAAATTTCCCGAGAATTCAATTATTTAAATACAAAAATAAATTATTTATTCAGTAATTGCATATTTTTTAAAATTGAATTTTTATAAAGAATTTTATCAAAATTTTTAATAATAATTGAAATTCTTTCGGCGATTTAAAAAAAAATTGTAATAATAAATGCAATTTTCTATCATTTTATTTAAAATTTTATAAAAATAATTGAAATTCTACAATAAGTTTTGTTATTAATGAAAATAATTGAATTCTTGGAACGAATTTTATTAAAAATCTTTTTAATGAATTGAATTCCTGTGAAGAATTTTATTTTGTAAAAATAATTGAATTCCAGAGAAAAATATTATTATTTATGAAAATAATTAATTTCTTGTGAAGAATTATATTCAAATTTTTTTTAATAATTGAATTTTTCAGAAATTTTAAAAACTTTTTAAAAATAATTAAATTCCATCTAGAAATTTCATTAAAAAATTGAAAATAATGGAAAATCTGACAAAGAATTTAAAAAAATTTCTTTTAAATAATTGAATTCCTGTGAAAATGTTTATTTTTGAAAAAAATTAAATTCTTGGGAAGAATTTTATTAAAATTTCTTAAATAATTGAATTTTTTAGAATTTTTAAAAACTTTTTAAAAATAATTAAATTAAATCTAGAAATTTCATTAAAAAATTGAAAATAATTGAAATCTGACAAAGAATAAAAATTTTTGTTTTAAATAATTGAATTCCTGTGAAAATGTTTATTTTTGACAAAAATTGAATTCTTGGGAAGAATTTTATTAAAATTTCTTAAATAATTGAATTGTTTAGAAGAAATTTATTTTTTACGAAAATAATTGTATTCTATGACGGATTTTATTATAATTTTTTAAATTTATAAAGCATATTATCAACATTTTTAAAAATAATTGAATTCTTAAGAAAGAAAATAATTGATTTCTAGCGAAGAATTTTATTCAAATTCTTTTAAATAATTGAATTCCCATAAAAAATTTATTTGTGAAAATAATTGAATTCTTAAGAAGAAATGTATTGAAAACAATTGAATTGTATATGAAAATTTTATTAAAATTGCAATTTAATGAACTATATCTTGTAAAGAATTTTGTCAACATTTTTTTAAATAATAGAATTATTAAAAGAATTTTATTTAAATTTTTCGAAATAATTGAATTTTTCAGACTATTTTTTTCAATTCTCTTTATATATATATTTGAATTCTTTCGAGAAACTTTATTAAAAAATTTGCAAAAATTGAATTGATGCGAAGAAATTTATAAAAAAAAATTGGTAAGTAATTGAATTCCTGTTAAATTTTTAATAAAATTTTGTTTAAATAATAGAATTCTTTTGGAAAATTTTATTAAAATAGTAGATATCAAAAATAATTGAAATGAGGAAAATGCATTTAATTTTTGAAAATAATTGAAATTTTGCCAAGAATTTTATTAAATTTTTTTGAAAATAATTGAATTTTTGAGATGGATTTTATTATTTATAAAGATAATTGAAATTTTGACGAAAATTTTTTAAATATTTTGAACATAATTGAATTTATGCGAAGTTATTTAAAAGTTATTTAAAAAGAAATTATTGTCAAAAATAGAAAAAATTGAAGGGTTTGTATTAGAATTCTTGGCAATTTTATAGTTTATAAGGCAAACAAGAAAGACCCTAATATTCAGAATTTTTCTATAAATTCTAAAAATTAAATTTTTTCCAGTACTTTTAATAAAAATCCCTGACTTTTCCCTGAATTCTTTGACTTTCCTGACTTGTGGCAACCCTGTTACACATATAAATGTCCTGGAAAAATAAGAAATCTGTCCTGGAATGTCCTGGAATTTTAAGTCATATTTTCAGTAGACACCCTGAAAAAGTAGTAAAAAATAGTAGGAAATAGTAGATCTAAATAGTAGAAGGCAATACAAGGAGGAAAGAGGGGGGGGATGTAATGAAAAAAGAGAAGGGGTATGAGATAAAAGTGAGAAAAAAAAGAGGAAGATAAAAGGTCCTCTCTTCTCTCCTCTCTTTCGATGAGTCGAAACGCGCGAGTTTCCGTTCATTGTGTATAGAAAGAGGGAGAGCGAGGGAAAAGAGGGAGCTTGAGTGCTGAGCTGGTTGAGAGAATGTGAGGGCCACCAGAAAAGAAGATGAAGAAGAGAGAAGGGGGCAGGCAACAGGTCGACCAGCATAATGTTGTTTCTAAGATATACACATAGAAATCTCGTGCCGTTCCATTCCACTCGACTCTCTCTCACACTTTAGAAATATTTCTCATCTCCTCCTCTCCTGGCGCTATGTCGTCTATAATTCGCGGAATCATCCATTATTGTTGCATAATTTTCCTCTATTCCTTAGATATATATACATTTTCTATTTCGTCCCTTTCTTATCTTCTCGTGGAATTTCTCTTTTATAAAATATGTAGATTCGAATTCCACTTTCTTGTATATTACAATTTATGACATTAGGTACTTACTATTCGTCCCTTAGAAATTTGAAATTGTAGAATATAATACATATATAAATAATAATAATTATAAATTGTATAATAAATTTTCAAATATTCCCGCGCTGCGCAAGTGTATCTGCGCAGTTCGCTCATGGCTGCATAGAGACATTTTCTCTCTCACAAGCGCAATGCCACACTCGAATAGTATATATAAGAAGACAGGTCTCTTGACAGTTCGCGGAAGAAAATTCAAACCGCTTTTCATGGAGATAATAATAATAGTAAATTTTTTATTTTTGGTCCGTAAAGTCCGTATTTTTAAATACTTTCACTGATTCTAGCCCTGTAATAATAATAACAATAATAATAGTCTAGTATACTAAATAAAAACATAGTTAACTCACTTTTTCACTAGGGGTGACTTTATCCCCAGCGAAAGTCTATCTTAAGGACAAAGTGATTTAATTAATTTTTTATTTCCTAAGACAGAATGGCAATATAGTAAATTGTTATGGTAGCTAGCACAGCAATGTTTTTTAGTTTTAATTTTTGAATTGCATTTGAGTGCTGACGATGGGCTTTATTTGATTGCAGCCTCGGGAGGGTGTGGTCCAATGTTGGTCCCTCCCGTGGCCCAAGGTGGGACTGGAGGTCGTCCCGTGGGAGACACAGGGGTTTCGAGGGGACAACAGTCATCAGCGGGAACCACGGCTTTATGGCCCCTTGCACCTGCACAACCCAATCAACCACCGAGTCAACAGTCTCACGCCACTCCACCCCTTGCTGCCACCCCTGCTCCAGCTCATAATCAAGGTAACTATTATTTCTTTCTCTAATCATATTATCGCGCAGCACTAAATTCTTACTATTTATATTTACTTTTGCTATTTACACTCATTATCATGCGATTTGTTGTTGGATCAAAAAGCATATTTTATGGTAAACGACAAACTTGAAGTGACTCGAAATGATCCTTCATTTTGAGGCACTTGAAGTTTGTCGTTTACTTATCGATTGAAGTGTGTCGATTTCGATTTCGATAGAAACTAAATTTATAGTTTATTAACTATATTTATATTATTATTTATATTTAATAATATTTAAAATTAATTTATATTTAATAGTCTGAGTTACTCAGCTCAACATAACCTCAAAATTTACTATAAAACTCACTGCGCAGAATCGGGATGATCTATTAGGTCATTTAAGCAGATCATAACCTCCAAAGCCGTATAAAGATGGTAATTTTTACACAAGAGAGGAAAGGATAGAAAATTTTTTTGTCCTTTTCTAGAAAGATGCAGGTTATGTTTCTATCCTTTTCTCTCCCACGTTAAAATTACGATTTGTGATTTAAAGATCGTTCTGCGCAGGTCTATTATTGATATCAATATATATTTCTCGAGTCTGCGCAGAACATTCTGCAGTGTATTTAGAGGTTATGTCAATGTCAGGCCTCAAATATTTGCGATTCCTTTCGACTATTTTTAAAAAATGCAACTTTTTTTTTTAGTATAAATTCCAAATTATTTCGATTTTTCTATAGTGTAAAAAATAACTACACAGATAAATCTTTCAAAAATTATTTTTGAATAATTTTTCTAATTAAATTTTCGAAATATCCAGTTAAAAAGATTTGGAATAATTGGTAAAATTTTTAAATTGAAAATAATTGATTTTTTTCAAGTATTATTATTACAATTTTTGAAAATCAAATTTTGAAGAAATTAATTTGCAAATTTTGTGAAAATAATTGAATTCTCAAAAAAATTGAATGGTAACAAATTTTCTAGTGTAAATTTATGAAAATGAAAATTAATGAAAACTAACTTCTAAAAAGTAATTTATTAATATTTTTTTTAAATAAGTAATTCTTAGAATTTTTCTCTTTATAAAATTTTAAAATTTAATTATTTTCAATATTTTCAAAAATATAATTTCGAAAATTTAAATACATGGGTAGAAAAAATAATGCAACACGCGACAAAAAGCTTCACCTGGAACAGCGTTAAGTTTCTCTAAATTAGCGAAAGTCTTAATTGAAACAACTAAAAATTTCACTAACTTAATTAAATTTATAGCTGTTTCAGGAAAAATTTTTCTGAATTATTTTTAACATTTTGGAAAAAATAATCATTATGTGAACATTTTTAATTGAAATTCTTAAAAAAATTTCTAATTTTTTTTTAAACTGTACAAAAATTCTTTTAAGAATAAATTCAATTATATTTTCGAAAAATTACATTAAAATATTTTTTATAAATATTTTTTAAGATTTACTTATCTACGAACATAGTAAATTATATTTTTTTAAATTTACTTCTTTAATTTTTTATTAAAATTTATTTATTTATTTATTTTCATGTTTATATTTATAATTAAAATTCTTCAAAAATTTGATTATTTATTTTATATTTTTCAGAAATTCAATTATTTTTATAAGATTTCGTCAAATTTCAATTATTTTTAAATAATTTTACCAAAATTCAATTGTTTTGAAAAAATTTTATTAAATTTCAATTATTTTTAAAAGATTTTACCAAAATTCAATTGTTTGGAAATTTTTTAATTGAAAAAAATCTTTAAAAATAAATCTTATATCTTTAAAAAAAATATTGTATCTTAATTTTACTAATTATTAGTAGAATTTTATTAATTGTAAGTGTAAAATTTTACTTACAGCATATAAATATTTAATTAAAAGTCGATAAAACAGTCTCACTAATTCGTTTAGTAAACTAGATGACTAGCAAATTATTAGTGAAATTAGCCGTAAAAATAAAAAAACATTGTAAATTCGTGAACGCAGGAAAATTAATTTTAATTTGTTAACTTTTTTTGTCGGCATAATTTTTAAATTTACTTCTTAAGATTCTTATTAAAATTTTGAAAAAAAAGAATAAAAATAATTGAATTTTTGAAAAATTTGATTAAAACATGTTTCACTAATTCGTGTAGTGAACTAAATGACTAGCAATTAGTGAAATTAGCCGTAAAAATAAAAAAAAAATATCAAATTCGTGAACGCAAGAAAATTAATTTTAATTTGTTAACTTTTTTTTGTCGGCATAATGCATTTAGTGTAGTAAAAAAGGAAGTATTAGACGGAATTGTTTATGTATATTTTTAACGATAAATCAAATAAAACACTGATTTCCATACTCACTTGCTGACTCACTTGAAAAACAATATTTGATAAATGATTTCTAATTAAAGGGGTATTATTTTTTTTACTGCTGTTTTTTATTGACATTGCACTTGTACCCCAATTTAACACAACTACGTGTCTATAAATAAAAACTAGATTCTCTTAATATTCGAGAGGAATAACAGTTATTTTTTCGTTTTCGCATTTATAAAAAAAAGTCAATTTATAATTTTATTTTGAAAAGACTTATTCCATATTTTCTTTTTTGTGTAAAAACGTTTTTTTTCTTTAAAAAATAATTTATTTCGCATTGTTATCTATTTTTATATTACTATATATTTCTATTAGTAGCTTTTTATTGTTTCCTTTTAATTAATTTTTATTATTAAAAAATTTATTTTAATTTTGTTCAATTTTAAAAATTATTAAAAATTATTAACTTGACTATTAACAAATTATTTATCAATTGTTATTAATTTTAACTTGCGGTTTTTTTTGTATTCAAAAAGTTGCATTACAACAATTTTGATACGCTTTTTGTCTTAATTTCTGATTCTTAGAAAATCTATGTAAATTGTCATTGATTAAATTTTTATTTGAAATTTTTGTTTAATTTTTGTTTTTGAAAGAAAATTTTCTCTTTTTGAAATCAAATTGAAATTTTGAGTATTTTTTTAATGGAAAATTTTTTTTTTAAAATGAATTTAAAGAGAAGAGGGAGGCAACTTTTGTGAGTGTTTTGTGGTTGCCTCCCTTTTTTTTCTTCTTTTTCGCATTATATTTCCTTCTGGCAACATAATGCTCGTTTATCAGATTATGTATGTGTCGTCGGTCAGAGGTTAAACAGTCGTACTTTAAACTATCTTTTAATGCGTGTATTTCATGTACAGGGTGTTTGGAAAAAAATTATATGACAACGTCCGCAAATATATCAAAATTTATGCAAATTTTTTTCTCCTATATGGTATATATTAATTGTGTAAAGTGATGAGATTAAAAGTGAAGCACATAAAGTGACTCTACGAGACTAAATATTTTTATTTTAGTTTTGTATTAATTTAAATAAAAATTTTATTTTAGAGACAAATAAAACTTTTATTTGAATCAAATATAATTTTATTTGAAGCAGATAAAATTTATTTGTACCAGATAAAAATTTATTTAAACCAAATAAAATAAAAAAAATAAAATAAAAAAAATAAAATGAAAAAAATAATAAATAAAATATGAAAATGTTTTCTGTAAAAATTGCATTTCTCATTATAGGTGTGAACCGCTACGGATTGTATTCGTTATTCCCAGGGGGTGGCGGGGGCAGTTACGTCGCAGCCACCCCGGCCACCCCTGGACCGCCAACTCCAGCGACAGCTCGAGCTTATCACGCGACAACTCACAAGGGTAAGTTTCTCTTAATACCTACGGAAAGTCTCAAACGAGCTTTATACTTAATCTTTATTCCATATAAAAGACATGGATTCTTTCGAGCGTCTCTTATTTGCAAAAAATTTCCTATTTTCAACAATTTTTATAAAAAAATTGGATTTATTTTTTGTTTAAATAATTCTTTTTTAAATAAATAATTTTCTAATTTCTCGGTAAAGTGGAAAGAAATTTTTTTAAATGGTTACTTGACTTTTGTTGTTGAATTATTTTATTTAGAGCAAATAATTTCTATTTGAATCAAACAAAAATTTAGTTGGATCAACTAATTTTTATGAATAAAAATAATTGTATTTCAATCGAATAATTTTTTATTCAAGTCTAAAAAATTATATTGAGCGAAATAATTTTTATACGAATCACATAAATTGTATACTTTAACCGCAAGTAATTTTTATTCTCCTTAAATAAATTATTATTGAATCAAATCATTTTTAGTAAGAGTTAAATTTTATAGTTGAATCAACTAATCTTTATTCAAGTCAATTAAAAATTGTAGTTACTTGAATTAAATCATTTTTATTCGAAACAAAAAAATAGTATTTTTACGAAATAATTTTTAGTAAAATAAATTGTAGTTTTGCCAAATAATCTTTATTCCCCTCAAAATAAATTATATTTGAATTAAATAATTTTTATTCGAGTTTGAAAAAATATATATTTGATTCAAATAATTTTTATTCGAGTCAAAAAATTGTATGTGAATTAAATAATCTTTATTCGAGTCAAAAAAATTGTTTTTTAATAAAATAATTTTTATTCGAGTCAAAAAAATTATATTTGAATTAAATAATTTTTATTCGAGTCAAAAAAATTGTTTTTTAATTTAAAATAATTTTTATTAGAGTCAAAAAAATTGTATTTGAATTTTTCATTTTTTTCGAATCTTAAAAATAGAATTTTAACGAAATAATTTTCATTCGAGTCAAAAAAAAAATTGTTTTTTAATCAAATAATTTTTATTCGGATAAAAAGAATATAGTATTTGAGCGAAATATAATCTTTATAGTCGAGTCCAATAAATTCTAGTTAAACCAATTAATTTTTGTATTTTAATCAACAATTACATTTTAATTTACTCAAATAATAAGTATTTGTTATAAATAATAATTATTTCTCATAAATAAAAATTAGTTTAATATAATAATTATAATTGTATAAATATTTAACTATAATATTATAAATAATTATTTCTATAATTATTAGGTGACTCAACAAAAAAAATTTCTTTCCTGCGACTTTTATTTTTAAAAATTGAAATTCAATATATGAAAATTAAAAAAGAACATGCAGACAAAGATGAATTTAATTCTTTGTTTTCTAAAGTACAAAAGAGTTCTTTTTTTAAAAATTACGTAATTATTAATGAGACGCCTTTTTAAATATGACTTTTTGTCGTAAATAAAAAAAGTATCACTTTTGCCAATGATAGTGTAATGTTGCTATTTAGCAATATAGTTATCGTTTTACACTCTAACACATGTGTTTGTGTATATGTATATATATATATACCATAAATAACAGAGATATTAAGAAAACATCCATATCTTTTATGAAAATATGTTATTTTTTTGCCCTTGCATTATTTATTATCACCTTAGACAACTTCCTGCGTATATATTAACGGACAAAAACTCTTTTTTTTTCTTCCGTTTAAAATGAAAAATTTGAATCGATTGAAACTATGTAAAAAAAAAAAGAAATTAAAAATATTTTGAATCTTCCATTTATTATAAAATATTTTATTTTTATGAACATTATTTTTTATAAAATAAAAATTTTTTAACATGTAAAAAATTATAAATTTAGCGCAAAAAATTATTATAAAATTATAAATAAATAAAATTTATTTTTTATAAAATAAAAAATAAATTTAATTTAATTAATTAATCAATTAATTTAATTAAATTAAATTAAATTTATTTTTTATTTTATAAAAAATAAATTTTATTTATTTATAATTTTATAATTTTTATGAATATAAATTATTTATAAAAATAAATTTTATAAATGATTGAACAACAATAAAATAAAGAAAGTAAATAATCATTAATTATAATTAATGTATTATTACAAAATTTATACATTGTTGGTATTTTTATAATTATATTATTAATAATATTATATTTTGACAAGTTGAAACTTCTTTTTACTGATTAGAAAATAAATTAAAGATTAATGTTGCGTATATAGATATAGAAAACTCCTTTTTATATTCTCATTTTTTCTTCTTTTTGCAAATTTTTTCTCTTTTTACTGTTTGTTGAAACTTTTATTGCTTTTCAATAATGCATGGCATAATTAAAATCCACGCTATACTCAACATAAATCATGTTTTTTCGAAACACCATTTTTTTCGTTGTTTATTGAAAAATTACTTTGCAAATTTACAAAAAAAAAAAAATTAAGAAAATTGAAAATTCGAGGAAGAAAAAATTAGAATATTCTTAAATTGTTTTTTTTTTATTTTAATACAAAGAAAAATTAAGAAAAAAGAAAGAAACCAAAAAGAAGACAAAAGAAAAGAAAAGAGACGAAAAAAAGAAAAATACAAAAAAATTTTTAAAAGAAAAAATAAAAACAAGAAAAAATCAAAGAGGAAAAAGAAAAAATCAAAAAAAGAGACCCTTTCTACAATTTTTTTTGGTTGTTCTTTTTTTTCGATCTTCTTCTTTGGTCATTTTCTAATTTTTTTCTTTTTAAATTTCTCTTTTTTTCCTTTTCGGTATTTTCTTTTTTTCCCTTTCGGTTTTTTCCTTTTTTTTTTGTTTTTTCTATTTTTTTTTTTTTTTTTTCGTTTTTTTCTGTCTCTTTTCCCAAAATGGGGACCATTCTCGAGACAGCGGAACACACCCCGTTTGGTCACCCCCTCTGACCCCCATCATCTCGCCATTCTTCACTATATCGTGTGTACTTCCTTCCTTGGATGACGGCCCTTTCACGGACCCTGGCACGGGGCACAATGGCGCAATTATGCAATTAAATCGTTGAATGAGAAGCTTCGAAAACCTGAAATGTGTGTGCGCGCCCAAAAAGGAATTTTTGCGGCAGCAGAGCCGCCAAAAAAAACAAAATAAAAAAAAGTGGGGGTGGGACCCCTTTAACGAACCCATTGTTAAAGGTGTAATCTAAAACGTCCTTGGCACGAGAGAGGAGAACCGCAAAAGAAAGTGGGAGATTCTTGGATGGGCCCCTTTAAAAAAAATTTATTAAAAAACAAAAAGAATTCTTTGACAACAAAAAATTTTATTTTAAAGCCTATTTTTGTAAAATAATGGGTTTAAATTAAACTAATGACTGAAAGACTAATAATTTATAGCTAATAATTAAAATAGTAATAAACAACTCTTTATTTTCATTTATTTTATTTTCGGAATAATAATATTTATTCAGGTTATTTCATTTTTATAAATTAAAAATTAATTATTTGTGTAAAATTATTTATTAATTGGCTTAATTAATTAATTTATTTTCTTACTACTACATACACCTAGTGAAAAATTTTATTTAAACAAAATATAATAGTATTTGAGTTAAATAGAATTAAAAAATTAAAAAAATAAAATTTTTCTCAAAGCGAAAGCTCAAGATTATTTTTTTGTTTTAAATAAAAAAAAAAAAAAAATTCTATTCTACACAAATTAAATTTTTATTTAAACCAAATAAAATTTATTTGAGATTCAATATGGAGACGCTATTCTCCACCTGCGAACGTCAAGGTCACCGCCAGGTGGCAGTTCAGTTCCTTCTTAGAATTTTTACTGACATCTAGTGGTGACCTTGACGTTCTCAAGTGGAGAAATTGAAACACCATTTTATGCCTCAAAAAATTTTATAATTAAAAAAAATGTTTTAGTGTGAATAATTTGAATTTTGTTCACAGTTCACATTTATTAATTAACAGTTCATTAATTTAATTAAAAATTTTAATTTAATGTAAAATTAATTTAGTGAAAAAAAAACTTTTTCTTTAGTTTTGGTTTTGAGAAGAAAAATTTTATTGTTTTTTAATAATAGTAAATAGTAATCTAATAATAGATTTATAAAAAAAATTCATTATATTGTTACTGTAATACACTCAAGAACATGGCCCATCCTTTTTTTTCTCTCTTCTTCTTTTTTTTTCCTGTAAAAAGTCTTGTCTAAAATGGAATCTCGTCGATTTCAATTATCTGTCTATTGTGCCTTCTCTGTCAATGATCGCGTGTATTTCTCACCATTATTCGACAATTGTGTTGGGGAAATTTTTATCGAAAAAGGGATAAAATTTAATGGACACGCTCTTGAAAGGTGCCAATAACAGTTGCGAAAAAAAAATTTTTTTTAACAAAATTTGCGCAGTCTTGTATATAATAATAAATATATATATGTGTTATTCGATTTATTTTTCGAATAAGAAAATTCCAAATATATTTTTTCACTATTTTATCCCTGAAATTAATTTTGATAAACGAAATAATTAATTTTTTCGTTTATTTGTTTACACGCTGGATCACTTGCAGAACGCACAGGTTTGTATTTGCAATGATCAGCGAAATTTTATTGAAATTTTTTTTAATACCAAACGTACACTGAGAAAATTTTTTTTTTTTTAATACAGAAAAAAAATTTGTATTTAAATCTTATATCTTTGAGTTAAATAAACGTATTTTAGACAAATAAAATTTTGTTTAAACCAAATAAAATTTATTTGAAACAAATAAAAAGCTGAGACAAATATTTCTTTTCTCTTTGGTGCGAATTAAATGGTATTTGCCCCAAACACTGAATTTATTGGTTAAAACATACAATTTTATTGCCATAAATAAATATTTCTTATTTATTCTAGTAAATACTTATTTGAGAATAGATAAAACAATTATTTATTTGAGTCAAATAAACATTTTTCCAGCGTAATAATTTTTATGTGAATATAATATTAAAGCAAATAAAAATTATTTCTTTGAAATTAAAAAAAAAATTTTTTATGTGAATCAAATAAATATTTTTTCAGTGTAACAATTTTTATACGAAATAAAAATTATAATTGAATGTATGGGATTTTTTTATAGGGTTGCAAAAATTATTTATTTGCGTATAAAAGATAAAAGAAATTGAAAAATCTAAAGATATTTTTCTTCTCACTTTTTTTGGGAGGAGCTTCTTTCTTAAAACTTCTTATTTAAATGCATTTACATGAAACTTCCATTTATCCCTCTCGTAGTTCATTTATTGCATTTCTATATATATATATATATATATATATATATATATTTATCGAAAGCACTGAGAGAGAGAGTAACTGAAACGATAAATTTCAATCGTTTTTATCATTGCCAAACAGGCATATGGTCATTCTTATTAATTATTCAGGATCCATTTAAAAAAAATAAAATATGTGTATCACTCGATATTTTCATACAAAATTCTTGTTCGAAATATTCTGTATATATTTAATATTTATGAATATTTTTAGTAAAATTTATTTTTGAATTCCATTTATATATAAATATACTAATATAGCAAGAGTATATTCTTTTTCTAAATTCTGGTCCAAAATAATAATTTTTAAATATTTTATTTTAATATTTATTTATTATTAAGTTAAATATTATGTTATAATATTATTTGCTATTATTTTACATATTTATATATTTTGTATATATTTATACTTTTTAAAATTTATTTTATGAAAATTCATAGATTTAGAATAATACTGAAAATGAATAAATTTTCATGAAATAACATCCCTTTTTTCTGTCTGCATATAATAAATGCAATGATATAAATGATATGGAAAATTGAATTAATCCTCGCGAAAGTAGGTGATGACCTGAACTCAATCTTTAATGTATATATGTATATATAAATATAAAGCCTTTAATCGAAAAGTTAAAATCTCAAAATAGAAAATTATATATTCCACTCGAATAATTTTTATTCGATAATACAATATGGGAAAAGTGAAATCAAAAATATTGTCAAGCAAAAAATTGTGATAATAAAAGAGACGTGCATTTAATATTTATATAATTTGAAATCATCAGTTTGAATTTTCACTCTTTTGAAATTTTCATATTAAAAAAAAAGATATTTGGTTTTAAAAAAAGATTTATCCATCTCATGTTTATTTCTTTTAAAGTGACAAATTAACCCACACAGCACATGATATTTCCTAAATATTTCCTGAATATTTCACTGAAAGATTGAAATATTTCAGTGCAAAGTTCTAGAAATATTTCTGCAAACAGGAAAATGTCCGCTTATGTGGGAATATTGACGCGAAAGTTGAAAAAATATTTCATTGAAATATTCCTGCAATATTACACATAAAGATTCTGCAATATTGTGAAAATATTTCACAAAATGGAAAAATTTGTTAAACACCTCAAACCAATAGGAAATTTCTGAAATATTTTAAAACCCATAGGATATAGTAAGCCAAAAACTACTGCGCAGCTCTACAGGCCATAGAAACTGAGTTCGACCAGTGCGCATCATTTCAGTTAAATATTTCCAAAATATTTCAATGAAATATTTTCTCAACTTTCGCGTCAATATTCCCACATAAGCGGACATTTTCTTGTTTGCAGAAATATTTCTAGAACTTTGCACTGAAATATTTCAATCTTTCAGTGAAATATTCAGGAAATATTTAGGAAATATCATGTGCTGTGTGGGAAACATCAAAAAAAGTTCTTCTTTAGACAATTTGAACTCTATGTAGTGAAAAATTTATGCTGCAAATGACCAGAAATCTGTGCGTTAATTTTAATTTCAGTAGAATTCTGATTAGGGGCTAGAATTTTATAATTGGGGTAAACTTAACATTTCAGGGTGTCTACTGAAAATATGACTTAAAATTCCAGGACATTCCAGGACAGATTTCTTATTTTTCCAGGACATTTATATGTGTAACAGGGTTGCCACAAGTCAGGAAAGTCAAAGAATTCAGGGAAAAGTCAGGGATTTTTATTAAAAGTACTGGAAAAAATTTAATTTTTAGAATTTATAGAAAAATTCTGAATTTTGGTTTTGCCTTACAAACTATGAAATTGACAAGAATTCTAATACAAACCCTTCAATTTTTTCTATTTTAGACAATAATTTCTTTTTAAATAACTTTTAAATAACTTCGCATAAATTCAATTATGTTCAAAAAATTTAAAAAATTTTCGTCAAAATATCAATTATCTTTATAAATAATAAAATCCATCTCAAAAATTCAATTATTTTCAAAAAATTTAATAAAATTCTTGGCAAAATTTCAATTATTTTCAAAAATTTTCCTCATTTCAATTATTTTTGATATCTACTATTTTAATAAAAGTTTCCAAAAGAATTCTATTATTTAAACAAAATTTTAATAAAAATTTAACAGGAATTCAATTACTTACCAATTTTTTTTATAAATTTCTTCGCATTAATTCAATTATTTCAAATTTTTTAATAAAGTTTCTCGAAAGAATTCAAATATATATATAAAGAGAATTGAAAAAAATAGTCTGAAAAATTCAATTATTTCGAAAAATTTAAATAAAATTCTTTTAATAATTCTATTATTTAAAAAAATGAGGACAAAATTCTTTGCAAGATTTAGTTCAGTAAATTGCAATTTTAATAAAATTTTCCTGTACAATTTAATTGTTTTCAATAGGTATAATTCTTCTTGAAAATTCAATTATTTTCACAAATAAATTTTTTATGGGAATTCAATTATTTAAACGAATTTGAATAAAATTCTTCGCTAGAAATCAATTATTTTCATTCTTGAGAATTGAATTATTTTTAAAAATTTTGATAAAATTCTTCATAAATTTGAAAAATTATAATAAAATCGGTCATAGAATACAATTATTTTCGTAAAATACAACATTTTTTTCTAGAAATACACTTATTGTCACAAAATGTTTGTAAAACTCTTCGAAACAATTCAATTATTTTCGTAAAAAATACAATTCTTCTCAACAATTCAATTATTTAAGAAATTTTAATAAAATTCTTCCCAAGAATTCAATTTTTTTCAAAAATAAACATTTTCACAGGAATTCAATTATTTAAAAGAAATTTTTTTAAATTCTTTGTCAGATTTCAATTATTTTCAATTTTTCAATGAAATTTCTAGATAGAATTTAATTATTTTTAAAAAGTTTTTAAAAATTCTGAAAAATTCAATTATTTAAAAAAATTTAAATAAAATTCTTCACAAGAAATTAATTATTTTCATAAATAATAATATTTTTCTCTGGAATTCAATTATTTTTACAAAATAAAATTCTTCACAGGAATTCAATTCTTTAAAAAGATTTTTATTAAAATTCGTTGCAAGAATTCAATTATTTTCATAAATAACAAAACTTAACGGAGCATTTCAATTATTTTTATAAAATTTTAAATAAAATGATAGAAAATTGCATTTATTCTTAAAATTTTTTTTTTAAATTCGCCGAAAGAATTCAATTATTATTAAAAATTTTGATAAAATTCTTTATAAAAATTCAATTTTAAAAAATATGCAATTACTGAATAGATTATTTATTTTTGTATTTAAATTATTGAATTCTCGGGAAAGTTTCTAATTAAAATTGATTAAAAAATGAATTTCTCTTGAAATTTTCAATTATAATTGAATATTAAAAACATTATAGAGTGAATTTTTAGAAATAATTGAATTTTGAAAAGGGTTAAAATTAAAATCTTGGAAAATTTGAATTTATAGTTATAATATTCTTATGAAATAAAATAATGATTTTATTAATCTGTCATCTTTAATTTATTATAAAACATGAGAAAATCGTTCACTCCGAGTCGAAGACTCGGATTGATCGATTTATTCATTATTTATTATAATATTCTGATAAGTTATTGAATTTGAGAATCTTAATTCCTATGGAAAAATAATAATGATTAAATATTTATTTAAAAAAGAAGGTATTAATGTTTTTCAGGGTCAGGGAGAAAGTGAAAATTTTGTCTGGAAATCAGGGGAAAGTCAGGGAAAAGCAAAATTAAAATTTTGTAGCAACCCTGTGGAATATTATTTCATATGACGATTAACATAATTTGAATTAACCTATACTTGAACAAAAATATTTATTTTATTATAAGAAGAGTTAAAAATTAATATTGTAGATACCTGTTTCTTTAATCAAATGACAAATTGAAATTATTTTTTGATGGATCAAAAAAATTATTTTTTTTTAATTTGAGTAAAATTTTTAAATTATTGAATAGTGAAAAGCAAAATATGGAAAATTCAAGGACAAAAGTTCAAAATCCAGGGCATTTTAGAACATTTCCAAGAATTCCAGGACTTCAAGGACCAGTAGACACCCTGTAAATTTAACATTTTTTAATTCCAGTTCGTTGATAGCATGCGTAATGTTAAATATTCCCCAAGAAAAATTTCTTTTCCCCGTAACAAAAAAAAAATATCCCTTCGTCTCAGAGAAAAAAAATTCTAAAACTAAAATTGAATTGTCGATAGTTTTTTCTTTTCTTCTTTTGAATCCCACATTGGAAATAGTACCAACGAGGGAATGGAAGTATATAGTAGAGGTGCGTGTGTAATAATTGCTCGCTCGCTTATCGGGTTATCGAAGCACTGTAAAAGTTACAACTTTGGCAAAAGTATCGCGTGAACTTGAGCGATTTTCAAATGAGAATATAATTTTCGTTGAGCCGCAAAAAAGAAAAAAAAAAAAGAAAAAAGCTGGAGACTATCTCTTTTTATGACCGCATATATATGTATGAATGTGTATATATGAATGTAGGAGAGAAAGTCGATAATGCGGAAGAGGAAAAAGACATGGGATCGATTAAAGTAAGGCCTTGGGGTCCTTTAGTTTCAGAGAGCGTGTTCTCAGCAGCAGTCGGGGTGGGTGTGGGTGGCTACACCTGGGGTGCTCCCACGCCGCCCCCTGGCTCACCATACAGTCCCGTTCCCGTGACTCAGCTCGAGCTTCTTGCCAAAAATTTGGCTAATCTCGCTGCGCCCACTGGACAGCAGGCACTCAGCCTCCAAGGAGTTGGAGCCGTTAATGTTGGAAGTCTCCATCACGCTCAACACACTCAGCACACTCTCAATCTCACTGGACTTCATCATCTCCATCACGGTAAGACAATTTTTTTCCTTGTTCTCATAAATATCGAAATTATACTATTTCCATTGTCCTACGAGATAAAAATTACTTTTGCGAATATCCTCAGCGATATAAAAGAAAACTATAGTTTTCTTTTCATATTTCGAAATTTATATCGCTGAGGATATTAATGGCTCTTGTTTGCGACCAATCGGAGACTTTTCGTCACGCATGCGCGGTTTGATTTCCAATATGGCCGACTATTGAACAGCTGACGCAAGCCAAAGTCGTATTTCCCAAAAGATATCTTCTTCTACCGTAATAACTATAATTATTTTAGTTAATAATAATAATCATCATTAGAAAAAGAAGAAAAATGGAAATTTTCTTTGCAGCAGAAATAGAAAGAAAATAAACGTTAAAAATATGAGCGACTTAGAGGAAAATTAAAAATTTTCCTTATTGCATTTCAGGTGGACTTCATCAGAATACATTTTCACCTCAATTGTCATTAGTGACTGGGAATCCGCCAACATTAACAATAAACAGTTTCTCATCGCCAAATTCAACGGGCGTACCAACAACGGGCGTTCTTCTGCAGGAGTACCAATCGCCAACTGGCTCCAACACCACAATATGTTCACCATCATTGAATTCGCCTACGTGTCCAACGGGAACCAACAGTCATTTGAGCAGCATGAATACAACAATGGTCGTGCAAGGGGCCCAAACAAGCAACAATCTCGTTCAAGGGAGCGCGAAAAAACGCGAGGCTTTCCTACCAACGCAAGGACAACCTGTCAAACTTGAGAACAAAACTAAACAGCCGTGCTTCTGCAAAAACACCAACGGTGAGTCAACATTATTATTTACTTTATTATAATAATAATAAGAAATGAAAAAAAAATATTCTGCTATATTAATTAGTGTATTATTAACTACTACAATAACTAAATAGAAAAAATAAAGTGTTGAACGGTTTACATCTCAAAACAAAAATAGGGTGTATCTCAAAAATAATTAAAGAGTAGCCTATCTTTAAGTTTAAAAATAGGCTTAAAATAATACTCTAAAGCAGGGTTATTAGGTCAGAAACAGAAGAATTAGTCAGGGATATCAGAAAATTTAGAGATTTTTATTAAAAGTACTGAACAAAATTAAATTTTTATAATTCATAAGAACACTTATTTAACTTATTTAACAAATGTAGGGGACAATATTGCAAATATTTAAATATAGCAAAGTGCAAATAATCAGGGTTGCCACAGGTCAGGGAAATCAGGGAATTCAGGGAAAAGTCAGGGAAAGTAAAATTGGTCAGGGAAGTCAGGGATTTTTATTTAAGTAACTGGAAAAAATTGAATTTTGGAGAAATTACAAATTATTGCAGAAATTCAATTATTTTCAAAAGTAATAAAATTCTTTCGAAGAAATTCAATTATGTTCAAAAATTAAAAAAAAAATTCTCATAAAAATTCAATTATCTTTAAAAATAATAAAATTCTTCTCGAAATTTCAATTATTTTCAAAAATTTTAATAAAATTCTTTGCAAAATTTCAATTATTTTCAAAAAATTTTTCTCAATTCAATGATTTTCAATATCTACAGTTCTAATAAAATTTTTCAAAAGAATTCAATTATTTAAAAAAAATTTTTTGATAAAATTCTAAGCAAACTTTGCAATAATTTAATTATTTTCATAAATAATAACATTTTTTTGACAAAAATTCAATTATTTTCAAGAATAATAAAATTCATCACAGAATTTCAATTATTTTTAATACAATTTTAATTGAATTCCTCGAAAAATTTAATTATTCTTAAAAATTTTGAGGCATTTCACGTCATAAATATCACGATTTGTAAAGGGTATGCCCATTTTCGCAAAACTTCGTGGGATTATAGTTCTACATATATAAAAGACTTCTTTCCTCTAAATTTTTTCAAAAAAAATTCAAAATTGTTAAAGATACGCCATTTTGAATTTTAATATTAATTTTATAAAATTTTGACTATTTTTTACAAAAAATTCAATATCTTCGGAACCAGTTGAGTCTCCATCAATTTTTTTTTTATGAAATTAAAGGTGAATTCACAAGGAATGCAAATATGTTAATAAAATTTTTCTCAGAGAGGAGTAAATAAACAAAAAATTGTTTTAAAAAATTTTTTTAAATTTTATTTAAAAATTAATTTTTTTTTTATTAACTTTATTTGCATTCTAAAGTAGATACTTTTACCTGAAAAATGTGTAAATTTCATAAAAATCCATAAACAATATTTCGAGATATTTAAAATTTTATAAAATTAATATTAAAATTCAAAATGGCGTATCTTCAACAATTTTGAATTTTTTTTTTTAAATTTGGGGGAAAGAAGTCTCTTATATAGGACTATAATTCCACGAAGTTTTGCGAAAATCGGCAGACCCTTTGCAAATCGTGATATTTCTGACGTGAAATGCCTCTTTTATTAAAATTTCTTGAAAAAATTCAAATTTGTTGATAAAATTCTTTATGAAAATTTGATTTCGAAAAGCATTCATTTATTCAATAAATTATTTATTTTTCTATTTAAATAATTGAATTCTTGTAGAATTTTTCAATAAAAATTGATTTGAAAATTAATATTAGTTAAAATTTTAGATAATAATTGAATGTTAAAAGCATTATAGCATGAATTTTTAAAAGTACATAAATTGATAAAATACATAATTGAATTCTTTCGAAGAATTTTAACAAAATTTTTGAAAATAGTGACATTTTTCGAAGAATTTACTTAAAAATTGTATTAAAAATAATTGAAATCCTGTGAAGAATTTTATTAATTTATGAAAGTAATTGAATTCTTGCAATGAATTTTTTCAAAATTTTTTTTAAATAATTGAAATAATGTAAAGAATCTTATTATTCATGAAAATAATTGAATTCTTTTGAGAACTTTTATTAAAAAAGTAAATTGTGAAAATATTTGAATTTCAACGAAGAATTTCATTATATTCGTGAAATGTAATTAAATTCTTACAAAAAATTTAAGAGAATAATTCCATTTTTCTAGGAATTTACTTTAAATTGTATTATAAATAATTGAAATCCTCAGAAAAATTTTATAATTTATGAAAATAATGGAATTCTGACAACGAATTTTATCAATTTTTTTTAAATAATTGAATTCATGTGAAAAATTTTATTATTTGTAAAAATAATTGAATTTATGCAACGAATTTCATTACATTTTATTTAAATAATTATATTCTTTTGAAAACTTGTATTAAAAATGTAAATTTTGAAAATTTTTGAATTTCAGCGAAGAATTTCATTATTTGTAAAATGTACCTAATTTAATTCTTGCAAAAAATTTTTGAAGATAATTTTATTTTTCGAGAAATTTATTTAAAATTGTATTAAAAATAATTGAAATCATGTGAAGAATTTTATTATTTATGAAAATAATTGAATTTTTGCTTAGAATTTTATTATAATTTTTGTAAATAATTTAATTTATTTTCGAAAAATTTTATGAGAATTAAAATTTTTTTAAGATATCAATTACTTCGAGTCTTCGACACAGAGTAATTGATATCTTCATGTTTTATAATAATATTCTTATAAGTTGTTTAATTTTAAAAATGTTTGAATTTGAATGTTTTGATGAATTTTAATTCCTATGGAAAAATAATAATTAAATACTTATTTAAAAATTCAGTTATTGATGTTTGTGAATAATTTTACAATTTAAGAAATTCGTAAGTAAATGTAATAGAATGTTTTTTTTTGAGTATCTAATAATAATTTTTAGAGTGAATCAGAATATTCTTTATGGTCAGGAAAAAAGTGAAAATTTTGTCTGTACTGGAAATCAGGGAAAAGTCAGGGAAAAATAAAATTAAATATTTGTGGCAACCCTGATAATGCAACTGTAAATATGTAATATTGTTAATATGTAAATATTCGTAATATTTAAAATTTAAATATTAAATTCATCATCAATGCACATGAGGCAGGCGCAGTTGAGGTGAATAAGAAGAAAATATCGCTTGTGATAATTTTGCAATAACCAGATTTTCATTAAGTTGACAATGATTGATATTGGTATAATGAGTATTTAATAATAATCGTTATGCTCTTTTGCGTTATTTCAATATCCTTTTGATCAAGTGTCTTTATTAACAATGACTATTTATCTCGCAAGTACACAACGTTTGTTATATTCTATTATATTCTTCAGAGAAAATTATTAGTGACGGTTATGTACATAATCCGACTATTTTTAACATTATAACACTTGTTGTGTACGCAGAAACAAGGAGTGTCTTTTGTTGATAAAGGATTGTTCTTGTTAGTTTTTTCAAGGCTCGGGATGCAAAATGATACAAACAATTAAGAATATAAAAAAAAATATTATTCTCTCTGGACATTTTCTTCTTTTTTTTTTCAACTATAGAGAATGAAACTTGTAAGTTGCATAGGGAAATTTTTGCATGAGAGAGAAAAGGATAGAAGTATCTTTTTCGCAAAAGAATTCATTTATTTAAAAAAAATTGATAAAATTCATCCTAAAATCAATTATTTTCATAAATAATAAAATTTCCACAGGAATTCAATTAATTTAGAATAGCATTTTCAAAAAAATCAATTATTTAACAATATTTTTATACAATTCTTCACAGTAATTCAATTACTTTCACTAATAATAACATTTTTCATGCAAATACAATTATTTAAACAATTTTTTCATAAAATTCTAAACCAGAATTCAATTATTTTCATAATTAATAAAACTCATCCAAGAATTTCAATTATTTTTCATTCTATTTTAAATTAATTAATCGAAAAATTCAATTATTTTCACAAATAAAGTTTTCCACAAGAAAAAAAATAAAATTTTCCTAATATTTATTATATTTTGAAAAAATTCATTATTTAAAACAATGATTATAAAAATCTCAAGAAAAATTCAATTTCTTTACAAAAATATTAGAATTTTTCACAGGAATTCAATTATTTTCAATTATTTTAAGAAAATTGTTCGAAAGAAATAAGTTATTTTAAATACAATTTTAATTAAATTATTTATTTTGAAATAATTCAATTATTCTTTTAGATTTTAATAAAATTCTTCCTAAGAATTCAATTATTTACATAAATAATTCTTCATAAGAATTCAATTATTTTTGAAAATTTTAATAAAATTCTTAGCAACTATTCAATTATTTTCATAAATGTAATAAAATTCGCAGCAGGATTTTAATTATATTTTAACAATTCTTCACAATAATTCAATTATACTTTCACTAATAATAAATTTTTTCATGGAAATTCAATTCTATTAAAAAAATTGTTTGATAAAATTCTAAGCAAGAATTTAATAATTTTCATAAATAATAAAACTCATCGAATATTTTCAATTATTTTTAATAGGTACTATTTTAAATTAATTACAATCGAAAAATTTAATTATTATCAAAAATAAAATTTCCCACAAGAATTCAATTATTTAAAATAAGATTTTTATAAAATTTATAATATTTCGAAAACATTAATTATTTAAAACAATGTTCATAAAATTCTTATGAAAAATTCAATTATTTTCCGAAATAACAAAAGTTTTCACAGAAATTCAATTCTTTTTAAACATTTTCAATAAAATTCCTAGCAACTATTCAATTATTTTCATAAGTAATAAAATTCATAGCGCAGGATTTCAATTATTTTGAATACAATTTTACAGGAATTGATCGAAAAATATAATTATTCTTAAAACTTTAATTTCAATTCTTTGAAAAAATCAATTATTTAAAAAATTTTATTTTTAAATTATTTGGAAGAATTCAATTATTAATTAATTATTTTCAAAAATAACAAAATTTTTCACAGAAATTCAATTCTTTTTAAACATTTTTAATGAAATTCTTCACAATAATACAATTATTTTCATAAATAATAAAATTCATAACAGAATTTCAATTATTTTTAATACAATTTTACAGGAATTGCTGGAAAAATGTAATTATTCTTAAAAATTTTATTTCAATTCCTCCAAAAATGAATTACTTAAAAAAAAGTTTTTTTAAAAATTATTTGAAAGAATTCAATTATTTAAAAAAATATAAAAATTTTTCACAGGAATTCAATTATTTTCAGAAATATTTTAATAAAATTATGCAAAAGAAATCAATTATTTTAAATAGGTAAAATTTAAATTAAATTTTTTTAAAAAAATTAAACTTTTAGATTTTAATAAATTTTATTTCCAAGAATTAAATTATTTACATAAATAATTCTTCGTAAGAATTCAATTATGACGTTGAACAGTTAAATTACTCGTGAAAATTCAATTACTTTGAGGTATTTTAATAAAATTCTTTGCAAAATTCAATTATGTTCATAAATAAAAAATATTCATCACAAGAATTTAATTATTTTTTAAAGTAATAAATTTGTTCTTGAAAAATTAAATTATTTTCGTAAATAATAAAATGCTTTTTAGGAATTCAAATTATTTTGAAAAACTTTTCGCAATTTAATGATTTTCAATGTCTACTATACTTTCATAAAAATATTTCCAAACAGAATTCAATTATTTAAAAAATGTTTTGTAAAAAATAAAAATCTTTGTATTCTGAAAATTGTATTGTAAAAATTCAATTATTTTCATGAATAATAAAAATTTGTCAGGAATTCAATTATTTATATTGGAATTTGCATAAAATTAATCGAATGAAATCAATTATTTAGAAATTTTTATATTAATTCTTCTCGCAAGAATTAAATTTTTTTTATAAATATTTAAATTCTTTCGCATGAATAATAAAATTTGTTGCAGGAATTCAATATTTATTAGCAGGATAAGAAAGAAGTAAATATTTATGATGAAAATAGTATAAATTCTGGAAAATAAAATATAGAATGGAATTCTTGTCAGTTTTGTGAAGTGTTTAAAACGAGTTTTTTTGGTCATCAAGTTTAATTTTTCAATAGCTACTTTTTTACTAAATTTTTTTAGTTTGAAACTTGGTTTGTAAGCTACTTTTTGCTATACTTTTTTGAAATTAAATATCGAGTGCGAAGTCGATATTTGTTATTCTCAAATAATGTCCCTGAAATTAGTGTGAAAAACTATTATTTGTGGTCTTTAAAGATGAAAATGTCACTGTTTGTTCTGTCTTCAGAAAAAAGAATAAATATAAATTAATGAATTCTGAAAAAATTTAATTTTTGGCATTATTTTCCATGAACCTTGAAAAAATTATTCCGCGTCCATTAGAGGAAAATGTATTAAGGAAACGAAAAAAAAAAGTTGATGATGTCTAGAAGAGAGTATGGAAGTAGGCAAAGATTATGCACTTATGTAAGGTCTGCTGCTGCTGCTACTCAGTGGTGTTCTATTTTTATACGAGACTCATATTAGTTTCCTGACTCTCTAACAAACGTTAACTTATATACACGCACGAGAGTTGCTTTTTCTGAATCATCCTAGATGGTCTCTCTCTCTCTCTCACGCTCTCTTTCTCTCTACGTGGAGAATTCGCAAAAAGCTTAGTGCAGGATCTAGACCGAAAGAGATTTAAGGCAACAGCCGACGAGCTAATACATCTTCGATGGTCAAATCTTGTTGAAATTGCGAGAATTTCCACGATTCGAGATGGTAAATTTCACTATTTTTGATAATGAGCGTAAAATTGTTAGAGGCTGTTGGTATTTTGCTGCTGCGGACTATATTTGCAAATTTTACCTCGACTTGTACTTTTAAATTGCGGTGGTTATAGTTAATTTTTAGTGGTTAACGAATCTGATAATTTTTACTGTTCCTTGAGTAAATTTTAGTATTTACGAAGTATTTATTACTACTTCGAACTTTCCTTCGAAAGATTTACCGAAATTTGCTTCGAAATTTGCAGAAGTATAAATTTTACTAATGCCGAATAAGTAAATTTTAATTTTAGTAAAACTTACTTCGAACGCTGGGAAAATTTCCTTCGACAATAGTAAAAATCGACAGAAAGTATAGAAATGGGCAGAATTTAGAATTTATTTAATTAATTTAAATTATTATTTAAATTATTCATTTAAATTTATTTATTTAAAATTATTTAATTTTCAGAATTTAGATTTTATTTCATAAATAGTAAAAGTTACTCTGTTGTTTTTTTCAATTAAGAAGAAAAAAATACAAGAAGCGGGCAAGATTGGCTTAGAAGAGGCTGAGAGCGCATGCGCTGGATTTGGCAACAAATGAGAGTGAGAGAGAAAAACCGCGACATCTCTCTCACTCCCATTATCCCCACTCCGGCGCATGCGCTTCTCTTACGTACTCGCAACATAACCAAAAATAATTATAAATAATTCTAAATAATTCTAATTAATTCTAATTAATTCTAAAAATAATTCTAAAAATAAGAGTAGAGATGATTCTATCACTCAGTCGTATTTTAATAAATAGTGAAATTTAACGATCCGAGAAATTTAACTCCGAGTCAAGGAACTCGGAGTGATCGTTAAATTCCACTATTTATTAATTCTAAAAATAATTCTAAAATTTCTAAAATAAATTCAAATTTAATTAACTGCTTTTTTCGACAAAAAGGGAAAAAATTATTTTACCTGTTAAGACTTTTTTTAGTTGATTGGGAAATAAAAAAAAAGTTAATAAAGAAGCAATTAATTTGAAGATTGTGGGATATTTTTGTTGCAGGAAAGACAAAAATTGTCCATTCGGACGCGGGATGCAGTAGAACCTTGCCAGTTGTCTCATCGTGGAATGGACAGGACGTCTCGTCTATAAATGTCACTGATAGTTCCAATTTGAGCAGTTTAGTCAAAAGGGAACCACTGGCTTCCGTTCCTTGTCAAGTTGCCGAGGTATCGACTTCGCTTCATGCAACAACGACGGCTGTGAAAATTGAACCTGTGCCACCAAAGTCTGAAAATGGTGAGTGACAAAAGAAATACATTTACTTTTTTTTTTTGTTGTAATTTTTGACATTTAGATTTATTTTTTAATCGCTAATTTTGCGGTATTCATGGTAGAATGACAATATTTTTTGCGGAAAATATGTACCAAAAATATAGGTACCTACATTTTTTATTTTAATAAAAAAAAAATTTTTTTTTTTTTAATTTTTTTTTAAAATAAAAAATGTAGGTATCTATATTTTTATTTGCGATAATTTATTTCGAAGTTGAGGTAATAATAATCTTTTTTTTTTATTTAAAAAAGAAATAAATAGAATCAATTTTTGTCGGTCAAAAAGTTTATACACACTGAGTTGAATCAGTGAAAAGTTGTCCCCTAATTTAAATTAGTATTAATTTTTACTAATTGTCAGTTATTTTTCACTAAAGTTTCAGTAAAAAAAATTTGAAAGTGTTAAATGAAATAGTAAAATTTAACTAAAAGTTAGTTAAAATTTTTATTAATTTTACTTAGTGGGCAACTTTTTACTAATTTATCTAATTGTTAGTAATTTTCCACAAAAGTTTCAGTCAAAAATTTGACAGTACTAAATGAAACAGTAAAATTTAACTAAAAGTCAGTTAGAATTTTTATTAATTTTATTTAGTGGGGGACTTTTTACTATAACTCAAATCTAAAGAGTAGTTTAAATTAATTGATTAGTTAATATTTTTTAATAATTTTATTTAATGGACGACTTTTTACTATAATAGAAATTTACTCTCTAAATTTGAATTAGTAAAAATGTTTCCTAATTTGAATTCTTGACTGACTTTTTGCTTTTGAATTATTAACTTTTACTAATAAACTAGTAGAAATTACTATTTATTAGTAAAATTTAGTATTTCTAATTTCTAAATCTTAATTTAAATTTTGCTAATTCTATTTTCTATTAATAAAAAATATTCTACTCATAAATTACATAGATGAAATTAGTACTTTTTTTAGTAAAATTTACTAATTTAAAAGCAAAAAGTATGACACTAAATCACTGTCTAAATTTAAATTAGTAACTTTTACTATAATAAATATTAATTTCTACTGATTAATTAGTAGAATTAGTAAATTTTACCAATAAATATTAATTTCTACTAATTTATTAGTGGAATTATTAAATTTTACTAATAAATATTAATTTCAACTAATTTACTGAAATATTATAAAATTCTCCTAATAAATATTAATTTCTACTAATTTATTAGTACAATTAGTAAATTTTACTAATAAAATAGTAGACATTACTATTTATTATTAAAATTTACTAATTTTTCTAATTCTAAATTAGTAGAAATTACTATTTATTATTAAAATTTACTAATTCAAAAGCAAAAAGTCAGTCACTAATACAAATTAGTAAACATTTTTACTAATTTAAATTTAGAGAGAATAACTTAGATTTTAGATAAAATTTTAATAATTCAACTTCTTCTAAAATTAGTTAACTTTTTTGTTTTTTAATAATAATTATTATAAAAATAATGGATTTGTAGAAGAAATTTAGTTAAAATAACTATTAAAAAATTGAATTTTGGAGGAGTTAAGAATAATTCCAAAAATTCAATTATTTTCAAAAGTAATAAAATTTTTCACAAAAAATCAATTAAGTTTCAAAATTGTTTTAAAATTATATCGTCAAAATTTCAATTATCTTTATAAATAATTAAATAATGAATTATTATTCTCTGAAATTCAATTGTTTTCCAAAATTTTGATAAAATTCTAGGTAACATTTCAATTATTTTCGAAAATTTTCCTAAATTCAATGATTTTTAATACCTACTATTTTAATAAAATTTTCCAAAAGAATCCAATTATTAAAAAAAAATTTAACAAATTTCTTCGCAATAATTCAATTATTTTCAGAAATAATAAAAATTCCCCTGGTATTCAATTATTTATAAATTTTTTTATGAATTTCTTCGCAATAATTCAATTATTTTTATAAATAATAAAATTTTTTCTACTAATTTATTAGAATATTAGTAAATTCTCCTAATAAATAGTAATTTCTACTCACTTAGAATTAGTAAAGTTTACTAATAAACTAGGAAAAAACTATTTATTAGTAAAATTTACTAATTCTAAGTGAGTAGAAAGTACTATTTATTAGTAAAATTTACTAATTCTAATAATTCTAAATTAGTAGAAATGACAAAATTTACTAGTCAAATTTACTAATTGAAAAGCAAAAAGTCAGTCACTAATTTAAATTTAAAGAGTAGAAAGTAGTTAAAATTTGAAATAAAAAATACTTGAAAATATTTGATAATAATTGAAAAATATTTTTTGTAATTTAGAAAAATTGGAAAAAAATGTGATGAATTAGAGAAGAGAAATAAGGGAATGAATAAGTTGTCAAAGTCAAATATGTTTTGAATACAAGTTTTCTTTTTTTGCTTATTTTTTTTTTTTTATTTTGAACTTAAAAGATGTTGAACAGTGAAATTCATTTGCGAGACGTTGCAATTGCTGGCGTGTGTACATAAAGTTGAAAGTCGCTTTCAGAGCAAGGAAGCATGTTGCAAATGGCCAGTTGCTGCCAACGCGAGTCGAATTTTTCATCGGCAAAGGCACAAACTCTTGCCAACGCGGCGGCTCCAAGGAATGATTTCTTAGTCTGGATATATAGGGTTAAATATTCCACGAAAATACACTTTGCTCGAATTTATATACACAAAAATAGTTTCCCTTGAAAAGTGTATTATTTACACAATTTATTATTTTTTATGTCTTAATTAACTGGTGTGCGTTAAAAATATATTATATGTTTCGAAAAATCGTTGCAGTGCTGAAAATTTTGTTAGTTTTCGAAATATTAACTTTTATAAATAGGAATGAAAACAAATTCTTCTTTGGGTATAATTTTTCATTACATTAGTTAAGTTAACCTAAAATAATTAGAATTTTGATTTAAATTAATCAATTTTTTTATGAAAATTATTATTTTGCTTTAGAAAAAGAAGAAAAATATTTGCACAATTTATATTTTAATCTTATCTTTGGAACAGGATTTTCCACAGGAATTAAGACATTCAAAAATTCAAATCTAATAAATTAAAGATGACCGAGAGATAAAATCATTATTTTACATTTTAAGAATATTGTTACTGTATAACTTATTCATCAAAATTATTTTCATCATTTTAATTAAATTATTATTTTCTAGAATTTTAAATTATTTTATATGAAAATAATAATTGAATTCCTGTAAAAAATTTTATTATTTATGAAAATAATTGAATTCCTTGTGAAATTTTAATTATTTTATATGAATATAATTAAATATTTGAGCAGAATTTCAATAAAATTTTTTATAATTGAATTCTTTTGAAAAATTTTAGTAGATATTATAAAAATCATTGAATTGAGGAAAATTTTTGAAAATAATTGAAATTTTTGCCAAGAATTTTTTAAAATAATTGAATCGATTCGAAGAATTTTATCAAAATTTTTTTAAAATAATTGAATTTTTGCAACGAATTTTATTAAAATTTTCAAAAATAATTGAATTCTTATAAAGAACTTTTATTAATTTTTTTGTTAAATAATTGAATTATTGCGAAAAAATTTATAAAACATTTGCAAATGATTGAATTCTTGCAAAGAATTTTATCAATAAATTTGATAATAATTGAATTTCTTCGAAGAATTTTATTGTTTATGAAAAAAAGTGAATTATTGCGAAAAAAATTGCAAATCATTGAATTCTTGCGAAGAATTTTATCAAAATATTTGATACTAATTGAATTTCTTTGAAGAATTTTATTGTTTATGAAAATAATTGAATTTAGGAAGAATTTTATTAAAATTTTACATAATGTTAATTAAATTCTTTTGAAGAATTTCTTTGAGTTTCTTTAAAATAATGGACTTTCTTTAATCATTTTAATTACAAGTTTTCAAAGTAATTGAATTCTATATGAATAATTTCTTTCAAGTTTTTATAATAATCCTCTTTCTTAATAATTGAAATTAAGCATTTAATTCTTGAATTTTATTAAAAATTTTTGGAAAATAATTGAATTTTTTTTGAAAAATTTCTTTAATTTATTGAATACAATTGAATTTTTTAATAATATTGTATTGAAAATAATTGAATACCTGAGAAGAATTTTATTATTTATGAAAAATACTTTAATTCTTGCGATGAATTTTAATAATATATTTCTTTTTAAATAATTGAATTCTTTTGTGAATTTTTATTGAAATAGTAGATATTAAAAATAATTGAATTTTGATATTATTGAAATTAATTTAATTCTACGAAGAATTTAATTCAAATTATTTTGAGGAAAAAATTGAATTGTTAAAAATTATTTCATTAAAATCTTTGAAAATTAATTTTTAATAAAAATTTTAAGAATAAATTACATTTTTCGAGAAATTCCATTAACATTGTACAAAAAAAAAAAAAATTTAAAATTAAATATGAAATTCTGCGATGATTTTTATTATTTATGAAAATAATTGAATTCCTGGTTAAAAAAATGTTATTCTTCATGAAAATAATTGAATTATTGCGAAGAAATTTATAAAAAATTTGTAAATAATAGATTTCCTCTGAAATTTTTATTATTTAATTCATTCATTCAAAATTGATATTTTCTAAAATTTCAAAATACAATTTTTTTTAAATAATTGAATTTGTTTTGGGAAATATTTTATTAAAATCGTAGATATTGGAAATCATTAAAATTAGAAAAATTTCTGAAAATAAGTAATTGAACTTTGGAGAAGAATTTTGTTATTTATAAAGATAATTGGGATTTTTACGAGAATAATTTTTTTCAAGATTTGAACATAGTTGAATTTCATTTTTTTTTTAAAGAATTTTTGCAATTATTTTTAAATTCTACAAAATTGAATTTTTTTTAGTATTTTCAACAAAAATTTAAATTAGAAAATTAGAAAATTTTATTATTTTTAAAATTGATAATTTTATTTAAAAAAGGTAGTAAGAAGTTAGCCGCGCGATT